AATGGAGGCAAGGACATCTGAAGGGATTTGCCCAAGGATGCCTAGCTAACACAAACACACTGAGATTTGTCTGATTCCAATGTGTATATTCTTTGCTAACTCATAAGAATACTGCTTCTCCAGAGGGAATATAATAAGTATGTATTTCAACTTCAACTTTATTGATTATTTATTATCTCAGAGATACAGGCACAGAGTCTGCTGGGGCTTGCGTGATTGAAATGTGATATAAACAAATCTATGAAGTTCAGGAAAGAGGAAGAGTTTTTTTTTTAGTCACTTGTCCTTTTATTGAGATATCATTGACATATAATATTATGTAAATTTGAGGTAGGCAAGGTGTTGATTGGATACACTTATATATTGCAGAAGTGTTCATCAAGGTCAGCTTTCTCTGTGTCTGCTACTTGAAATACAACCCGTCCCGGCAGGTGAGCTGTAGGGGACCAAGGTAATGGACTAGGTGTCGTCGAGTCCCGGTTCTGCCACTTGCTGGTTATCTTCATCAAAACCAGCAAGCTTTCCAGGCCTCAGCTTTCCTCTCTGACCTGAGGAGCGAGGGTTATAACACAGTCTCCACCTGAGGCCTATTCAGAGGCTGAAGAGTAAGGCGAGGCTTACTCAGTAACTACTGGAGGTTGCCAGGTGGGGCTGGTGCCAACGCAACCATGACCTCTACCAGGAAAATGGCATGCAGCCTAGAATATTCTGTGAACTGCTCACGGAGGAGGAGAGACTGGGGCTGAGCTGCAAAGGACAGAACACAGCTAGGCCCTTAAGAAGGACACGTTGGGAGAAAAGAAAAGGCTAATGAGATGGAACAGTTAGATATCAAGAGGCTAGGGTGGGAAAAGAGAAACCCATGCCTTTGTGAGGTAAACCCGGAGAGAGGTTTTAGAGGCTATCAGAGTGAAAAAATTTGAAGTCAGAGGGACCAGTTAGGTTGTTGCAGAATTCAGAGGGAAGGAGTCCAGAGTGATGACTTGGAGAAGGAAGAAGGGTGGGTGGTGGATCTGTAAGCCCTAGTCACTGGATGGACCTTGGGAAGAGGCACACTCAGAAGTTTGGTGCCTCAGTAGTGGTGAGGCCCGTCCTAACTGCTGTTAGGACCATTAAGGTCAGGCAGCAAGCGGAGGACTGAGTTTCAAATCAGAGATTTTTCAGAGAACATTCTGAACATAAGCAGCCTCTGCCTCTTTCTTCCCCATAAATGTTCATTCCTCAGAGTTCGATCCTCAGTCATGTAAGCAGACTCCCTGCCTGAGTGCATGAGACCAATGCATCAACCACTGCTCTATATGTTGGTGACTGCTAAACTGACAACTTCAGCTGAGACCCCTCCCGTCGACGTGGGACACCTAGTGCCACCTGCCTCCTGAACTTCACTTGGAAGGCCCAAAGGTTTGTGCAACTCTACCAGGCCACCACCAAGTGCACCCAGTTCTCTGCCCGTATCAGCATCTTCCCTGCATGTCCCCCACCTGCATGAACCAAAAACCTGGCCCTCACCCTTGATTCCTCCCTCCCTCCCTCTCCCTCCCTCCCTCCCTCCTACCCTGGACTTGTTAGCTGGTGGGTTTGTTTTCCCAACGTTCTTTGCAGTCACCTCTCTCTCTCCATTCGAGGCAGCTTCCAGGGTCCAGGCTGTTTACTGGTTCTCAGCAGGATTTCTGCCACCACTTCCTAATGGGTCTCCTTGCTTTTTGTCAGGTCCCCCCTGAAATCCGTTCTGTGCATGACAGCTAACGCGATTTTTCTACTAAGCTACTAAGCAAGACAGCTCCAGTCTTGGTCCTGCTCATAGGTCCCTCAGAGGTTTCTTTTCTTTCTTTAGGGCAAGTGCTAAATCGCTCAGCACAGAATTAAAGGCCTCTCAGCGTCTGGTCTACCCTTCACCACTTTGCCAGCAGTGATTTATACTCTATCCACACTGAATGGCTTATGGTTTTTCAACCTCCACAAGCATCTGTGTCATTTTCTTTGCTCATATGCCCCATTCTCCTTTCTGTCAAACTGGCGAACCCCAATCTATTTAAGTTTCGTTCAGCTCCGTCTCCACTTCCCCTGGGGAGCCTTCGCAGCCTGCTGCACCTGGCGCCTTTCCTCTCTCCTTCCGCTATCACGAGATCCAGGATGTTCATTCATTCATTCACTCATTGTCTCTACACATATTTACCGAGCTGGTGTGGGGCATACAATGGCCAGCTGAAGACACGTGACTCCTGTCCCTGTAGAAAAACGACGACTGCCACTGTTTGCCTGTCCAACTCAGGGAGCCTTTGAGAAATGATTGATGATCTTGTTTTCATGTGCCTGCAGGCCTTTGCCCTTGATGATCCGTTGGCTTGGAACACTCTCTCCAGTGTGCAGGGCAGGGCCGGCTTCTTCTCGGCCAGATTATCTGGACTTGGTTCCCCTCCTGCCCGCTCCCTCTCTAGCTCTTCACCCGGATTTGCCCTCTCAATAGCTTTTATCACTCACCGTGGAAACTACCTTACCGACTGGCTTATCGCCTGCCTCTTCTTACTCAAAGTAACCTTTAGAGTTGCCCAGAGCAGGGACCTCCCCTGTCCTATTGTCCACGGAGAAAAATCGGGGGCTAGTCTGTGCCTGGTGCAAGCGTGATAAATGCATGAGTGGATTTTGTAGATAAGGAAGCAGATGCAGAAAAGGGAAGGACTGGCCGTGAGAATTAAATAATTTAATTAGAGACCCAGTACCAAGTAAGCACGGGGATCGCAGACACAGAGTGGAGGGTGGCGATGGAAAAACAACCACAGGACTAACAGATGTGGGGGTGACCCGAGGGGATGAGCAAGGAGACGCTAATGTCACAGCGGGGAGTGAGCTGCTCCCTGCAGTACAGACCTCTCCCAGTCAAACCCGTGGCTTCACTCTCTTCTTCATCACCTCTTTCCTGAGCCTTTCCAGAACTGTTTAGGAAAGCGTGGTAAAAAAAAAAATACTTAACGTTTAACAATTCCTCCAGCTTCAGGGTAGCTGCCTTTTCTTCTACTAAAAGAAAATGAAATGTCTTAGCTTTAAAAATAGCAACTATGAAGGGCCGATATTTTAAAATAAATTTATTTTTCCTATCTGCCAACCCTGCATTCATCCATACATGTGGATAATACATGTGTGTATATATATTTCTGTGATATATATGCCTAAAAAGATATCTGGGATTTATCTAATATTCATGATCCATACACATATATAGATAAATAGATATATTTCTATCTCACATATATGCCTAAAAAGATGTCTGGGATTTATCTAATATTCATGAGTTATTTCTGATTGATAACAATTTGATTTTCTTTGATTTTCTGTATTTTCCTGCTTAGTGTTGATTTTTTTACAATGTGCATATATTGTAGCAAATGATTTAAAAAAAACAATTGGAAGCAGATATACCAAAATGTAATTGATCATCAATTTTCGATGATAGGGATATTCAGATATCTTCTTTGTATTTTTTATGGAAAAAAAACTTTTCTTTTTTCATTTTAAAGTGTATTTTCCTAAAAGGAAAAAATGTGAATCTGAGATTGGTGCAGGAGGATTCCAGAGAGGGCAAGCAGAGTCAAAGTCAAGGTTGAGTGACTCCTGGGTCAGGGTGTCTTTTCAGCCAGAAGAGGCTCTGGCACAGGCAGCTCGCAGGAAGGATCCGGTATGTAGTGGGGGCTAGGGACCCAGGGTCCAGAGAGGTTGTCATTGAAAGCTGGGCCTCTGACCTGTGGGCATCCCGCAGGACACCAGTCTTCTTCCCCCAGGGGACAGCCCTTGAGAGCTCCTGAGAGCTTTTAAGCAGTGGAAGGGCTAAGTTCTCACAGCTGTAGGCAGCGCCCTAGGTTGGTGCAGATTCAACAACCGTAGTGAACACCTGTCCAGCCCCTTGGAGGGAGGGAGCTGAACACAAAACAAATGGTTTGAGGTGATAAATGAATGCGTGTAGCAGGCAAACGGTTTTCAAGAGAGGAAAACCTTTCAGGCTGGGAAGAAGCCATCAGAATTGGAGAAATTGAATGTGACAGAAAAGGGAGGGAGGGGCCAAGGACCCCTGGGTTGGATGAAACACTTGGGGGAGGGGCGGGGATACACCCTAGCATTTATGCTAGGGCGCTGGGTAGGGGCGGGGTGGGGGGGGGCGGCCTTCGCTTCGCCCACTTGAGTGTCCATCTTTTCACAGGACTGTGACCTCCTTCTAAGGTCTGTGTCTAACTCGGCTTTCAGTCCCTCCTCCCCATCGCCTGGAAGGGCACCTGGCTCCCTGTGAGTGCTCAACAAATGGTAAACTGAACCGAGGAGCTGCTTGCTTCAGCCCTGTCCCGGGGCTTAGGTCGGGAGAGCAGGATAAGCACATCCCACGTGGGAGGCCGGCGTCCCCTTGTTCCTTTGGGGAGACTATCGTGGATTGAAGGTTCTACTTTAATATTCTCGAGTGGAGGGAGCAGCGCATCCAAACAGCCCTCTGCACAGGTTTGTCAACCTCAGACCTTGGGGACAGCTGGAGATGTCCGAGGAGGCGGCAAGGTGCGTGCGCCCCTCTCCCCAGACCCGCGGATGCTGAGCGGTACCCAAAGAGGCACTCAGATCGCTAAGGACGGAGATAAGCCAAGGATCCGGTGCACAAAGTGTTCCCGTCTCAGAGCATCTCGGTCCTTCTAAGTCACTAAACTCTCCTTCCCCCATCTGGCAAGTGGGAAGGCTCCCTGACTCCAGGACGCAGGGGGTGGGGAGGAGAGGAGAGTAGGACTGCGGAAAGCTCCCGGCACCAGCTAGCGGGCATCCCCGTGGAGTTGGCGCTGCCTCGCTGGGCCCTGGGACCAGAGACGCCGGGACCACATCCCGGCTCGGAGCGCACCCTCCCCTGCGCCCTCCGGGTCCGCGGTGGACCAGGCCCGCCCCGCCTGCACGCGGCTCTCAGCGGCTCGGTGGCCGGCGTGGCCCGGGCGACAGGCGGAGGGGCTCTCGGGACGGCGGGCCGGGCAGAGAAAAGCCCAGAGGACCCGGTGCACTGGGGTGCGGGCGCTCCCGCACGCACGCGGCGGGCTGGGTGGCGCGCGCTTCCCCTCCCCCCGCGGCCCCAGAGCGCGAACTGTGACGTCACGGACCTCCCGCCGGCCCCGCTCTCCACCGGGCCGAGCGCGTGCGGCCGCCGAGCACATGGGCCCTTGGGCTGTGCGCGCTCTGGGCGGCCTGGACCCGGAGGAACAGCAGGGGCCGGGAGCGAGGATGGGCCCTGGTACCCCTCGGCACCCCCCCGGAGTGGAGCTCCACGCGGAAAGGATGTTGGCGGCCCCGGTGACATGGCTTGGATCCACCTTCCAGTAAGTTAGAATTCTGTCCTCTGCGTTTCTGGAAACTCGTGAGCTTGTGGGGGGGGGGGGGCGCTTGTGGATAGGGATGCTCCGTGAGTAGCTGGGCCGAGGAAGGGGCTTCGGATTCATATTTGTGTGTGCTAATCGTGCACTTTCCTCATCACCAGACTCCAGACAGGCATTTGGGTATATCAGATGCCCTGTACGTAGAGCTAATTCTGGGTTTTGTGCACTTGATCAAGGGTCTATTGCCTCATCTCTAAAAATAGACCATCTCCAATCAGTACCGGCCTGGGGTCGCAGATGCGCTTCGGAGGCCCCTCTGGTGAAACTGGAAGTCCGTGACCCACAGGATACTCCCTCCATCCTTTGGCCACCTTCTCCTCCCCCACCCCCAAGGTGATTTCCAAACGCTCAGCAAGTCTGTTCTTTGAAACTTTTGCATTGCATTTCCAGATTTGCTGGGGGCCCCAGACAGCCTAATGATGGTAATTCTTTTTGGATGGGCTGTTGATTTAATGAGGTTTACCCTCCCTCCACTAATGGCTCTTATTTATGCCAGTGTTTGTGGTCGGTGTAGACTTTCAGGAAGGGCGGCCATGCGGCTGCATGTGTCCGGTGCGTGGATACACCACGAATTTTCCTGATAGCCTGCTGCCAGGGAAGATGCTTCTCGTTCCTCAAGCCCCTGGCTTCAGGCCCTTCTAGAAGATGAGGGAGTTTTTAGGGAGAAGAGGGCGAGGTTTTGGTGGTTCCTACAGGTCTTAACGTTTTCCAGAGAGGCTGGCAGCCCCCTCTGCTCATCACCCCACCTCAGCTAGTCCCGACCCTGGAGCTGTTTTGTTGTTGGAGGAAACCATGGAGAACCGCCTGTTTGTGTGGGGTGGGTGGGCGGAGGCCTTGGGGACTTGGGGACTGTATCAGCTTTGCCGTTTGTTATAGGTGCAGGCCTATTTTGCATACTGGTGCTGACAAGTTGGGACTTGTTCATTTGTCACAGTCCTGTGGTCACAGTGCATCTTTCTAAGGCTTCAACCAGTGGTGTAGGGGTTTGCATGGACCCTCCGAACCCAGGGTGGAACTTCCTGAAAGATTTGTTAGGAGAAAAGCCTTTCTGGAAGCGGCAGGAAGAAAACCGAACCCCCTGGCTGGGCAGAGCCTCGTGGCCCGGTCTCCACTATGTGAGAAGAGAGACATCTTGGAGTTGAGGACTGCCTCGTGGTCTCAGGCACTGGCAAGAGGGCCTGGCTGGGATTCCACGTGAGTCTGTCTGGGGATGGAAAGGCTGGGTGGGTCCAGTGCCCACCCTGAGGCTGTATCCACCGAACCCAGTGGCCATTTGTGATGCAGTCCCATTGTGAAGGGTGACTTTCTGTTGTTACTGTTGCTGTATCTACTTCGAGTGCAGAATTTGGCATAAACCAGGCTTCTCTTGAACGGTGAAAAGAAATCAGTTTCTTTTTCTGATGGATTTTTTTTTCTCTCCCCTTTCCTGCTCTCCCATGCTATCGGATGTGCTCTTCCCTTCTTGGCTGCAGCTTTTCTGGGCTGGAAAGAGGGAACTGGTTTCTCGGTTCTGGAATATCTGACCCCCGATGGTTTGTGGGATTGCTGGTCTGGAGACCTGGTGACTGCCACCATCCACATCCAGTCAGTCCCTTGTGCTTTCAGCTTTTATTCTGCCACATGGCAGGAAGACTGGCCGGCCGGGCTCTGCCTGCCCGGGATGGACAATGTGCCCGGACGGCTCAGTGAAGGGATCTCGTGGGCGATGAGACACCTCTTTCTCCCTCCTTGTGTGAGTGGCCCTGAATGTGGGCAGACCGAAGGCAGGTTGACTCTTTCCTGGGGAAGTGAGTCTAGTTGCTGAGGCAGGTCTCTATTCCTTGGAGAGGTAGCCATCGGCCTGCCTGCTTCACAGTGTGTGTCTGTGATGTCAGATGTCCTCCTGGTCACTCGGGCTTTTTATTTTGTATTTCCTTTCATAGTTGGGTATAGACACGGCACTGGCCCTAGTTTCTGTTTTGGTTTTTTTTTCTCTCTCCTGATGCTGGTATGTGATATCTACAAGAGACCAAGAACCCCATCTTTGTACACCCAGTGTCTGCAGGGCACCCTGACCCAAGATGGGAACAGAGCAATCATCTGGAACATTTCTGACCGTTAATGAGCCCCACTGATGGTCACGTCTACACCGTCCCCTGAAAACCTCAGAAATTCTAGGTCTTAAGGATAACACTGCTAAAATGCATTCTTTGATGGTTGCCTCCTCTGTCTCTTCTGCTTTTCTGGCCCCAAGTAACTAGTAACAGTACTAGTCATTAATAGTAGCAGTGACAATAATGGTAGTTTGTGTAATAATATTGAAATTGTGTATCACGCCTAGTATGTTGTTTGTACTTTATGCTCCCTACAACCCCACGAGGCAGATACATGAAAATGTCTAGCAGTGATGAGTTCTCATTGCGGGCCCACCTCTGCTCTAAATGCTTTAGATGTGTTATCATTGACCCTCCCAACAGTCCTGTGTATTGGCTTATTGTTTTTGCTATTTTGCAGACCAGGAACCCACAGCTCAGAGAGGTTAAAAATGTCCCCCCAGGTCACACAGAGTCACCTGGGTTTGGACCAGGACCGCCCAATTCCCTGGGCCCACTCCCAGAAGTCGGAGGACAGTGACATTCAGAACAAAGGCTGCCTCTGGGCCTGGAGCCACAGGATTGGGTGTGTGGTGCCCTCTCCCCACCTCTCTCAGGCAGAGATAGAAGCCCCAGCACCTTTCAGAAGACACCACATGCTCTGGCTGCCTGTCTGTTCAGCCTCGGAGGGGCAGGCTGCCAGCTGTGAGACCAAGCTTGGGCAGGGGCTTCACTGTGGGGGAGCATTCTGGGCTGGGGGTCTGGGAAAGAGGGCCTCTGGGGCCCCGGCAGGAGCCATGGGTAGAGGTCAGAAGCCTCAGTCTTGGTGCAGAATCTTACATGCACTTGTAAAGTGCTACCTCCGGGCATCCTATTCTAGCATTTTAGTAACCAGCATTTTATTCTTATGAACCTTCACAGGGAGGGAGCTAAGATCTTTCTTTTTGTAAATGATCACGTCACCCCCATCCCCACCCCCCACCTGTTCTGAGTACCTGCCTCCATCCCGGGTGTGTTTAGGTCCAGCAGGGACCCTAACAATACAACGATTGTGTGTGGTGGCCCCTCTCTCAGCTCTATCATTAAAACCACAAACAGTTCTGGGTCATAAAACACAGTGGTCTCAGTCATTTTTTAATTTATTTTAATTTATTCTATTTTATTTATTTTTTGTTGATCGATCTTTTAATTTTAATTTTTTTTTTTTTCTGAGAGAGAGATGAAGGGGTAGAGAGAGCGTGTGCATGTGCGAGAAAGAGACAGACAGACATCGATTGGTTGTTCCACATATGTTTGCACTCATTGGTTGATTGTTGTCATGTGCCCTGACTGGGGATCGAACCTGCAACTTTGGCATATTGGGATGATGCTTTAAGCAACCGAGCTACCTGATCAGGTCTCACAGTCATCTTTAAATTGCAGAATTCTGAATGGACTTTCTTTTATTTTCTCTTACTTTTTTGCGGGGTATATGGGGTGTTGTTTAGCTGGTGCCTGATGGGTGATCTGATCAGCAGTATTATTTGTTCGCCTGCCTCTTTTCCCTTGTTGACCGTGAATTTCTGTATGTTTTTTTAATTTCTAAAATTGAATTTATTGGGGTGACATTGGTTAATACAATTACATAGGTTTCAGGGGTACAATTCTGTAATACATCATGTGTATTTTGTATTGTGTGTTCACCACCCCAAGTCATGTCTCCTTCCATCACCATTTATTTATTCCCCTTTGGCCTGCGTCTACTTCCTCCCACCCTACTTTCCCCCTGGTAATCGCCATACTGTTGTCTGTGTCTGCGAGGACCATGAGCTTATTGAGAGCAGCGGCCAGCGGGGGGGAAGTGGGGTAGTCATCTTCAGCAGTTTGGTGGCTAACACAGCTCTGGTACTGTGTTGAACTGCGTGGCTTTCGGAACTGCTTTTTTTGCAAGGAAACAAGTGGTGATCAGTCTACAGCTGACATGGTGGGACATGGAGGGTTTGTCCTCAAGAAAAGGACACTGAAGAAAGAGGAAGAAACCAGCAGAAGGCATCTGGGGACAACTAAGGTCAGTATTGATCTGGGTTGCTTTGGGACAAGTTGCTTCCCCTCGGTTCCCTCGTCGTCCCTGTAGTGGGGGGTGATAGAGCACCAGCTTCACAGGTTGCTGTGAGGAGGAACTAGGGGAAGGACAGCAGGCGGTTAGCAGGGAGCCTGGGCTCATGGTAAGCAGTCGGCACAATTAGCTAATATTACTGTTATAATTATAGGGGTTTGTTACTTCCTGTGGCTGCTTGGAGTGGTGGTTTCTGAATACACTTCAGTGTGTCAAGGTGGCATCTGAAAGGACTGCTGGCTAATGGAAGGAAGGAAGACGTGAGAAGTCAGGAGAGCTGCAGGAGCAGGGCTCAGACAGGACAGGGATCAGTGCACGCATCCTATGGCCCTGCCTTTGCAGGTTGCTTCAGCTCTCTGTGCATCCATTTCCTCAGCTGCTGCCCAGGGAGAGCAGTTTCTCCCTCCCAGGGATGGTGCAAAGCACTTAGCACAGAGGAAGTGAGCTCTTGAGTAAGATAGAAAAAAAAGCAATGGTTATTATTTATTATTCTTCAGACGCCCTTTTCCTGGTAAGTGAGCCCTAATCGATGTTTGCCATTCTGTTCAGGGTTGATCCATTGATGGATTCATTCATTTACTGAGCAGTTGCTATGTGCCAGGCTTTCTAGATGTGGCAGATGCAAAAGAGACAAAAAAATCCCTGTCCTCCTGAAGCTTCCGTCTAGTCCAAGCCTTGTAGTGGGGGACAGGGTGGTCCCCAGAAGGAGCAGGGACAGGATAGAGGTACTGCAGGCAAAAACGACATCTGCTCCAGTGCTTTCTCCCTGGCACTTC